GAGGAAATGATTCCTCTGTGTTGACCCTCCTCTTTATAGACTGGACACTGGTTCAAGTCCATCTGGTGGGGTCTCCTTGGCCTCCTTGATCAAGAGGTCAGATGACCCACCACCATTACAGGACATTTTGCGAGATGCTCATGATTCCTGGGAACCCAAAATGATTTTTTGGGGATGCACAGTTTCATGAAGCCCAGGCTAGCCTTGAACTCACTATGTAGCTGAGGGTGGTCTCAAATTCCTAATCGTTTTGCCTCCACCACCCAGTGATCAGATGACAGAAGTGTACCACAACACCCAGTTTATGTAGTGCTGGGGTTGGAACCAGGGCCAGGGCTCCGTGCATGCTAGGCAAGTGGTCTATCAACTGAGCCACATTTCTACCTCATTATATATATAATTTTTTTTGAGACAGGGTCTCACTATGCAGCTCTGGCTGGCCTTGGTTCTGGAACTTGCCAGGTAGACTAAACTGGCCTTGAACTCACAACTATCTGCTTGCGTCCCAAGTGCTGGGATTAACGGTGCACACCACTATGCCCAGTCACCTTGATTTGTGAGACAGGGTCTCTCACTGGCCTGAAGTTCACCATCTTGGTTAGGATGGCTAATCAGTGAGCCCCAGGGACTCTCCTGTCTCTACCTCCCCAGTGCTGGGATTACAGGAATATGCCACCATGCCTGGCTTTTATTTGGGTTCATGGGATAAAACTCAGGTCTCACTCTTACATAAAAAGCTCCTTGCAGACTGAGCATTCTTTTTGGTGCATCTCCTGATTTTTTTTTCCTTTTTTTTTTCTTTTTGAAACAGGGTCCTCTTTATAGCCTTAGCTGTCTTGAAACTCGTTATGATTGGCCTTGATCTTGATCTGCCTGACTCAGTCTCCCAAGAATTGGGATTAAAGGTGTGCACTACCATACCTAGCTTCCTAACTTTTTTTTTTTTTTTGGACTTTTTGATACAATAGCCCCTACTGGCCTGGAACTCACTATGTAGCCTGCCTCTGCCTCCTGTGTGCTGGGACTAAAGACATGCACCTCCTAACTTTTTTGAAACACTATCTCATGTAGCCCAGGCTGGCCTTGAATTCCTGATCCGCCTGCCTCTACCTCCAAAGTGCTTGGATGAGGTAAATCTAGCTCCATTCTTGATATGCTTCTGAGAAAGGATGGGGCTGTGGAGATGGTTCAGTGGGTAAAATACATCCCTGTGGGCATGGGGACCCAAGGTCAGATCCCCAGTACCCACATGAAAGTTAGATGCATTGGTGCATGCCTGTAACCCCAACACAGGCACAGCCTCGGAACTTGCTGGTCAGTCTAACCAAAAGGTTAGCTGACCCAGCTTCACTGAGAGATGCTGTCTCAAAAAAATAAGGTGAAGAGGAATACAGGAAGAGCCCAGACTTTGTTGACCTCTGGCCTCCATATGCACAGCCACACACTCATGTGCATACATACACACAAGGGCATGTACAAGTACATATTTCAGAGAGAAAGAGAGAGCGAGAGCGAGAGAGCAAGAGAGAGTGAGAGAGAGCGAGAGTGAGAGCGAGAGCGAGAGAGAGAGCGAGAGGGAGAGCGAGAGAGAGCGAGAGAGAGAGAGAGAGGGAGAGCGAGAGAGAGCGAGAGAGCGAGAGAGAGCGAGAGGGAGAGCGAGAGAGAGAGCGAGAGGGAGAGAGAGCGAGAGTGAGAGTGAGAGAGAGCGAGAGAGTGAGAGAGAGCGAGAGAGTGAGAGAGAGCGAGAGAGAGCGAGAGAGAGTGAGAGTGAGAGAGAGCGAGAGAGAGAGAGAGAGCGAGAGAGAGAGAGAGAGGGAGAGCGAGAGAGAGCGAGAGAGCGAGAGAGAGCGAGAGGGAGAGCGAGAGAGAGCGAGAGAGCGAGAGAGAGCGAGAGGGAGAGCGAGAGAGAGCGAGAGAGCGAGAGAGAGCGAGAGGGAGAGCGAGAGAGAGCGAGAGAGCGAGAGAGAGCGAGAGGGAGAGCGAGAGAGAGCGAGAGAGCGAGAGAGAGCGAGAGGGAGAGCGAGAGAGAGCGAGAGAGCGAGAGAGAGCGAGAGGGAGAGCGAGAGAGAGCGAGAGAGCGAGAGAGAGCGAGAGGGAGAGCGAGAGAGAGCGAGAGAGCGAGAGAGAGCGAGAGGGAGAGCGAGAGAGAGCGAGAGAGCGAGAGAGAGCGAGAGGGAGAGCGAGAGAGAGCGAGAGAGCGAGAGAGAGCGAGAGGGAGAGCGAGAGAGAGCGAGAGAGCGAGAGAGAGCGAGAGGGAGAGCGAGAGAGAGCGAGAGAGCGAGAGAGAGCGAGAGGGAGAGCGAGAGAGAGCGAGAGAGCGAGAGAGAGCGAGAGGGAGAGCGAGAGAGAGCGAGAGAGCGAGAGAGAGCGAGAGGGAGAGCGAGAGAGAGCGAGAGAGCGAGAGAGAGCGAGAGAGAGAGCGAGAGAGAGAGAGAGCGAGAGAGAGCGAGAGAGCAAGAGAGTGAGAGAGAGCGAGAGAGAGCGAGAGAGAGCGAGAGTGAGAGAGAGCGAGAGAGTGAGAGAGTGAGAGAGAGTGAGAGAGAGCGAGAGAGAGCGAGAGAGAGCGAGAGGGAGAGCGAGAGAGAGCGAGAGAGCAAGAGAGCTAGAGAGAGCGAGAGGGAGCGAGAGAGAGCGAGAGAGCGAGAGAGCGAGAGAGCGAGAGAGCGAGAGAGCGAGAGAGCGAGAGAGCGAGAGAGCGAGAGAGAGAGAGAGAGAGAGAGAGAGGCTGGAGAGATGACACAGTGATTAAGAGCACAGGCTGCTCTTGCAGAGGACCCAAGCTCAGTTCCCTACACCCACTTTGATTGGTCACAACTGCCTGTTAACTCCATTTCCAGGGAATCTGACACCTTCTTCTGGCTTCCATGGGCGCCTACACCTACATGACACACAGACATATACACAAATAAAAAATTTTTGTTTTTCGGAGCTGAGGCTGGAACCCAGGGCCTTGTGCTTGCTAGACAAGCGCTCTACCACTGAGCTAAATCCCCAGCCCTTCAAATAAAATTTTTATGATTAAAAAACCCCAACTTTCTGCCAGGCATGGTGGTGCACATCTTTAATCCCAGCACTTGGGAGGCAGAGGCAGGCAGATCTCTGTGCGTTTGAAGCCAGCCTGGTCTACATAGTGAGTTCCAGGCCAGCTGAGGCTACAGGGAGACGTGTCTCAAAAAGCCCTCCCCCAAATTTTTTTAATAATAAAAATTTTTAAAAAGAAAAGCGTATAGGCAGGAAGACCCTAGGCTGGGAATTCTGTTCCTGTCATTGAGCAAAAGACAGAGCTCAAGGTCAGAGACAGGTAACAGGACAATGAATCCGGTGAGTGGCTGCGCTCCCAGCTATTCTAGAAGCTGAGGCAGGAGCATTGCTTGAGCCCAGAGTTCAAGGCCAGAATGTGACCATGTCTCCAAACATTTTTTAAAAAGCATAGAAAATAGGACTGAGGATGTGTCTAAGTGCTAGACACTTACCTAACTGTGTGCAAGGGCCCAGGGGTCACTCCCCACACCACCCAGGCAAAAGAAAACAGCAACAGAGAGGGGATTTATGCACACAGGGCTGATGAATGCTAGTGCTGTCTCTTTAATGTCCATACTGGTTCCCCAGGCCGATGTCACAGCACCCTGGATCCGGACCAATTCCTTCCCTGCATGCACAACAAGCATTTCTGCCTTTTTTTCTCTCCAGCCATTTGGTCCTATTGCTTTTCTTACATGCTGCAGGTGGTCAGGAATTCATATTTGTTTCTCTCTGGGTTAAGAATTTACAGAGGCAGGATCTGTTCCGAGTTCCTTTTGTCTCTCTGTCATTACAGCCTTCTGCTACGTCAGCACTTGTGTCTTGAATCGAGCCATTCTGCCCAGTCTCCCTCCAGCCAGTGGGTGAATGTGGACCTGGCGTGTGTGGTTGCTAAGGAGAAGTCACTGGGTGGAATTCCTGCCAGCTTAAATGTCCTTCTTTACAGGGAGTTCTGCCAGCAAGCATGGACATGCCCTCACTTTAAAGGGAACAATGCAAAAACACCCAACTTCCTTCAGAAAGTTTTTTGTTTTGTATTTTTTTTGACACAGGGTCTCCCTGTAGCCCCAGCTGACCTGGAACTTGCTGTGTAGACAAAGCTGGCCTCACTCTCACAGAATTCTGCCTGCCTCTGCCTCCCAAGTGCTAGGATTAAAGATGTGAGCCACCACGCCTGGCAGAAAGCTGGGTTGTTTTTTTTTATTGTTTTTGAGACCAGGTCTCATGAAGCCTCGGCTGCTGGTGAATTTACTTTGTAGCCGAGGCTGTCCTTGGGCTCCTGATCCTACTGTTACCACTCCCCCAGTGCTGGGAAGACAAGCATGCACCACCGCATACTGGACAGTGCTGGGGATCAAGCCTAGAGTTTGGTGTATGCAAGGGAAGCTTTCTACCAATGGAGCCACAGGCCCATAAAGACTGTTCAAGTAAACCCGTCTTTATTCCTCCTCAATTCTCTTCTTTCTTTCCTCCCTTTTCCCTTCCTCCTTCCCTTCATTTTCCATTTCTCTTCCTCTCCCCTCTCTTCTTCCATGAGACGGTCTCTTACTACGCAGCTCAGGCTGACCTTGAACTCAAAATCCTCCTTCCTACCCCAGCATTGTGGTGACCTTTCCCTTCTAAGAAAGGATCAGAGGGCTCCTGGAGATGCACAGTTCCCTCCCCATGCCTGGGCCTGACTGGTGTTGTCCTCCTGCTCACACCCAGGGGTCCTTTCTGTTGCTTCTGGGTTGTTTTTTCTAGTGCAGAGATAGAGTGCAGGGACACATGTGTGCATATTGTTCAAGTTTTCTGCCGATGAGCCTCGCTCCCAGCCCCTCACTGGGGGATTCTAGGCAGGGGCTCTCCCTGAGCCAAGCCCCCAGCTCCTTACTGGGGGAGTCTAGGCAAACACTCTGAAGCTGAGCTACATACATCTTTAGCCTCAAGTTAGTTTAACCCAGACATCCCTGTATTAAGGAGATGCTACCAAATGATTGGAAGAAACTGTATGCTTTAGTCAAGTGGAACTGAAAGATCAATCACTCATCAGAAACCTCACCCTTCTGGTTCCCAGGTGGTTGATCTGAGGTGGGGCGTTCGGAACACAGAGGCCACTGACTACATGACTACAGAACTCTGCTTGGAAGAACTTGAACGCTGTCAGAAGTTATCCATAGGCCCAGCTTTTGTTGTGAGTGTGTCGAGACCAATGGGGTCACTCTTGCTATTTTTTCCATGACCAGAAAGTAGCTACACTGAATCATAGAAGTGGGTGGCATTTATGCTAACATACCAAATTTCTCATAGCTTGCCAGTGGCAGACATTGCTAATCAATCACAGAACTCATGTTCTCTGTATAGCTTTGAGCCAGGCATTAGTAGTCAAGTGCAGCAACAGGTAAACTGCCTCTAGACTGCTGACTCTGTAGGGAATCTTGGAGGTTGGTTTGAAATTTCCTCCACCTTTCCCACCCAGTGCACTTCCTATCAGTGGTATTTTCGGGTTGTGAAAAACAATTGAGAGACCCACAGAGTCTCAGGAACTTACTATCTAATTTATTATTATATTAATTATCCACCCATCATGTCAGGTGAAGTTTGCGTTGGCCTGGGATGGGGGGTCCTCCCTCCCCTCGTGGGTCATTGGCCACCAGTCCACGAGGACAAAGGGAGCAGAAGTGACAAACGGGGTCAGGACGGCCAGTGGGTACTGACGGAAGAAAGCCCTTCTGGGGAGGCAGATTCAGTGATACAGCTCCGTTTATTCAGTGGGGGTCAGGGAAAATATAGTGTGGAGGCAGCAGCCAAAGCTTCAGCTGATAGGTGCTCATAGTATGCTTTATTTACATGTGGTAGGGGATCCTATCACCTGACTATACGGCAATGCCTAATTATCATATAGAAAAAACCTGGGGGCAGTTTTTATTGCAGGTAACTATGCCAAAGGTCATATTCTGAATAAGGTCAGGCATCCATGCTTGGAGGCACTTTCTGGGTAAGTCAGGAAGACCCTGCTGAGAAAGGAGCCAACCTTAACAACATCTGTATCTCCTCTGTCACCAAAATAACTCCCAAGCTCGGTGTGCTAGTGCAGACTTGAAATTCTAGCCCAGAGAAGTAGATGTGGGAAGATCAGGAGTTCAAGGTCATTCTTGGCTTCCTAGGAAGTTCCAGATTGGTCTCAAAAAGGAGGGAAAAGGGGGCTGGAGAGATGGCTCCACAGTTAAGAGAACTGACTGCTCTTGCAGAGGACCCGGGTTTGATTCCCAGCACCCACATGGCAGCTATGAACTGTCCTTAACTCCAGTTACAGAGGAATCCGAAGCCCTCTTCTGACCTCTGTGGCATTGCACAACACGGGTGCACTCACATACATGCAGGCAATACATTCATACACATAAAAAAAATAATAAAAAACCACACACACACACACACATACACACACAAAAGTAGGGGGGAAAAGTCTTGGGCTAGAGAGGCAGTTCAGTGGTTAAGAGTGCTTGCTGCTCCTGAAGAGTTCAGTTTCCAGCATCCAAATCTGACAGCTCACAACCACTCATAACTCCAGCTTCATGGGATCCAACACCCTCTTCTGGTCTTGGTGGGCACTGCACACATATGAGTACATACACTCACATAGACACACATAGAAAAAAAAAAGAAGAAAATAAATTTTTGAAAAGGAAAAAGTGGAACAGGGGAATGAAAGACACCAGTGTACACTTCTGGCTTCCACATGTGTATAAATGCACACCCACATGCACCGGTGTACACACACTACACATACAAACACAAAATAAAATACGTTCTCACAGTTGGAAGGCTCTGCCCCCTTGCTTGTAAATCTCCACAACCCTTTTTCCGCTCTCCTAAGTTTAATTTTCCAAAGGATCCTGATGATCATGTTAAGTTTGTAGAGGATCATTTGTGGGTTTTTTGAGACAGGGTCTCAGGTAGCCAAGGCTGGCCCCAAACTCACTGCATAGTTGAAGCTGGCTCTGAACTTCTTTCCCTCCTGCTCCCATCTCCAGAGAGCTGGGACGGCAGGTGTGTGCACCATCACTCCAAGCTCATTTGTTTTCCAAGACTCTGTAAGTCCAGACTACCCTTGAACTCAATCCTGCCTCAGCCTCCTGAGGGTGAAAAAGAGGTGCCTTTTAAACATTTATATTTATTTATGGGAGGCACACATGGCACGGTCTGCATGTGGACGTCAGAGGACAAATTGGTCTTCTTGTTCTACCATGTGGATTCCAGGGAGAGAAATCCGGTCATCGAGCTTGGTGGCACGTGCTTTTGTCAGCCCAGAAAAAAAATTGTTTTTGATTTTTTTTCTTTTGTTTTGTTTTTGGTCTTTTTGAGACAGGGTCTCCCTGCAGCCCCAGCTGGGCTGGAACTCACTATGTAGACCAGGCTGGCCTGAATCTCACAGAGATCTGCCTGCCTCTGCCTCCTGTGTGCACTGCCTAAAGGAGGGATGGTCCCCAAGTCTTCACAGGTCCATCCCACCTGCCCTGGGACTTCTATAACAGCTGCACTATGGCTCTGATGACTTTCGCATCTCTCTGCTTCCCCAGAGCCTCCCCGTTGCTGCCTTCCATCACTCCTATTGGAGGACTTTCCATGAAAATCAGACTTGCACTGATACCCTGGAGAGGAGGCTCTGCGGTAAATAAGTCATTAGCAGGCCACTATGGGGAGATGTCCCCAGAGTCTCCTTTTAGAGGCCAGGCCTCTGGGCCCTGCAGCAACAAGAGCTCCAGCTTGGCACCTCCCACACTGTGATCCCACTAAGCCTGGGGCTTGCTCTCCTAGATCCTGTCCCGGGCTTCCCTCTGCAGATGGCTTCCAGCCTGTCTTGTCCCTCTGAGACTGGAAGGGCCCCTGGAGGAGCAGAGAGACAGTCACAGATTTCTAGTCAGCATGGTGGCCTGAGCCTGTCAGCACAGCTGCTTAGGGGGCTGACACTGGAGGCTCCCTTGAGTCCAGGAACTCAGGGCCAGCCTGGACAACATGAGACCCAACTCAGAAGAACAGCAAAACTAACTCCTTTCTATTTCTTACACACACACACACACACACACACACACACAAAACACCACACATTGCACACACACACACCACACTCACTACACACACCACACACCACACACCCATACCACATACCACATACACAGCACACACACAACACACAGCACACACCCATACAACACACCACCCACCCACACCCCACCGACACCCCACACATCTCCTCCCCACTACAAACACACATACACACCCACACATACCGTACACCCACACCACACACCCCACAGCACACACAACATCACACACACACACTACACATCACACACACACCACACACGCACACAAAACACCACACACACCACACAGCACACAGAACACACACATCACACACACACCATACGCGTCACACACATACACACCACAGACAGATACACATTGCACATACTTACACACCACACCCATCCACATTCACACCATCCGTATAAGCATTCACATACACACAGACACACAGAGGTGCACAGATCTCAGTACCTTCCAGTTGGTTTTCCTCATCCATCTTCTCTTTGCTTCCTCTCCCTCCCCCTCCTCCCACCTGCTCCTCCCTTCTCCCTTCCCTCCCCCTCCTCCCCTCTCCTCTGCTCCCTCCCCCTCCTCCCACCTGCTTATCTTCCCCTTCCACTTCCTCCAGCTTCTCCCTCTTCTTGTCCTGTCATGCCCCCACCCCTGTCTCCCCACCTCCTCCCTCACCTCCTCTTCCCCTCACCC